TAAGGAAACAGTGGCCTTAAATGACACAGTAGTCCATTTGAACTTAACAGATATCTACTGGACATTCCATCCAAAAACAGCAGAATACACGTTCTTTTCAAGTGCACATGGAATGTTCAGCAGGATAGACCATACACTAGGCTATAAAACAATTCTTAACATATTTAAGAGGACAGAAATTATATCAAGCAACTTTTCCAACTACAGTGGTATGAAACTACAAATCAATTACAGGAGGAAAAGTGGGAAAAACAAACATGTGAAGAGTAAACTACATGCTACCAAAAAAACAATTGGTCACTGAAGAAATAATGAGAAAATCAGAAAATACCTTGAGACCAATGGAAATAAAAACACAACCTTCCAAAATCTATGGGATGCAGCAAAGCAGTTCTAAGAGGAAGTTTATATCAATGCAGTCCTACCTCAATAAATAATACAAATCTCAAATAAACTACCTACCTACCATCTAAAGGAATTAGAAAAAGAAGAACAGAGCCCACAGTCAGCAGAAGGAAGGAAATTATAAAGATCAGAGAGGAGATGAATAAAACAGAGACCAAAAAGTAGAAAAGATCAATGAAACCAAGAGCCTGTTTTTTTGAAAAGATAAACAAAATTGATAAGTCATTAGCCAGGCTCATTTGCAAATACTATAAATAGTTTTATGCCAACAAATTGGACAATCTAAAGAAACGGATAACTACCTAGAAACATACAATCTTCCGAGACTGAGTAAAGAAATGGATAATCTGAACAGATTAATTACTAGTATTGAAAATGAATCAGTAATCAAAAACTCCCTACTAGGGGCTTCCCTGGTGGTGCAGTGGTTGAGAGTCCCCCTGCCGATGCAGGGGACACTGGTTTGTGCCCTGGTCCGGGAAGATCCCACATGCCACAGAGCAGGTAGGCCCATGAGCCATGGCTGCTGAGCCTGCGTGTCTGGAGCCTGTGCTCTACAACGGGAGAGGCCACAACAGTGAGAGGCCTGCATACCGCAAAATAAACCAAAAAAAAAAAACTCCCTACAAGCAAAACTCCAGTACCAGACAGCTTCATGGGAATTCTACCAAATATATAAAGAAGAGTTAATACCTATTCTTCTCAAACGATTCCAGAAATTGAAGAGGAGGAACCACTTCCAAGTTTACTCTACTAGGCTACCATTACTCTGATACCAAAACCAGACAATGACACTACATAAAAAGAAAATTACAGGTCAATATCCCTGATGAACATAGATGCAAAAATTCTGAACAGAATAGTAGCAAAACAAATTCCACAATATATTAAAATAATCATACAAATTCCACAATATATTAAAATAATCATACACCATGATCAAATGGGATTTATTCCAGGGATGCAAGGATGGTGCAATATCCACAAATCAATCAATGTGATACACCACATTAACAAAATAAAGGATAAAGATCACATAATCATCTAAACAGATGCAGAAAAAGCATTTGACAAAATTCAACATCCATTCATGATAAAAAACTCTCAACAAAGTTGGTGTAGAGGGAACATATCTCAACATAATAAAGGCCATTTATGACACACATACAGCTTACATCATACTAAATGGTGAAAAATTGAAAGCCTTTCCTCTAAAATCAGGAACAAGACAAGGATGCCCCCTCTCACCATTTCTATTTAACATAGTTATGGAAGTCCTAACCACAGTAACCAAACAAGAAAAAGAAATAAAATGCATCCAAATTAGAAGGGAAGAAGTAAAACTGCCACTATTTGCAGATGACATGATGACACACTATATATTGAAAACCCTAAAGTCTCCATCAAAAAAAAAAAAGAAAAGAAAAGAAAAAGGAATGTTACCAGAAAGACACCTGAGTTAAACAGGACTCTCTCATTTCTTTACTAAAATTTTAACTTATTTGGAATCCAACTTCAATTTCATGAGTTCAAATTACCTTTGTGCTTGAAAACCTTTTTTCCCTGAGAAAGAAAGATTTAATTTATGATGACATCTAACATGCTTCAGAATGTTAAAAAAGGATGGATATTTTAGACATTGACAGACTATATGGTGAATGTGTAGATGCAAAGGGCCTAATTGACTGGCAAATAGCTGGTTTACCAAGACAAGCCTCTAGTACTAAGTGGATGGGCATTTTTTGGAGAACTGAGAACTAATTTCTACAAGTCTAAAAACCTGCTATTTCTAGTAAGTAATATTTAGGAGTACTCCATACTCAAACACTTTTTTTGAAAGGATATTTAGCTTGATGTCATCACACTGGACTGACACCAGGAATCAGTCTAATGTAGGCTTGATAAGAGCAAAGATGCATATCAAAATGAATATTATGTTTGATCATATTCAGTTTTACCACTACATAAAAGAAGGATGTCCTACAGTCTGCAGGAAGTTTAGAGAAGTATTATTAGAAAAGAAACAAAGAGTAAAAATATCCTACTATACTCTGGTGCCAAAAGGAACATTTCATTGTAATTTTTTTATTAAATATAGGCAATAGATAATACTGTTTAATTTGTTTTATTGTGTTTACATTCTTCTTTTTTAGTCTTACATTTATGTATATTGAAAATATACAATAAAATGACCTAAAAAATTTAAACAACCAAGAGTTGAAATAAATTGCTGTGACAGGACAGAAATATGAAAAATATGGTTAAAATTAATTAGTCCTATTAATTACTACTAATTGCCACTGTTAAGTAGTCCTATTGTTTTATTTAAATAGCATGTATGTAACAGAAAAGTAAATACTACAGTAAAACAATTTTAAATGAACATCTATTTTCATATTTTTATATTACAGCAATAACACATGTATACAACTATTTATTACATCTTATGGGTCTTTTCATCTAGTACAGCTGTGTCCCGATTGGCTCTCTAAAGGTTGGTCACCCCAACGGTACAGTACCATTTGGGTAGGGGAAAAAGATATAAAGGAGGTAATATTTGCAAATTAAATAGACAAGAAACTGGTAAACAGTGATGCCTTCTGCGAAAGAGAAATGAGTGGCTGGAACAAGCCAGAGAGGCTTTTTCTTAGTTTTTAAATATATTTTAAAATATTTGTACCCTGCGTATATGCTACCTATTCGAAAAACATTATTAGTCTTACATAGACGTTCCCCGCACTGAGCTGGGAAAGGCGCTTGTGTAGCATGAGGATCAGTGTTCCTCCCGGAACCACAGTGTTAACAACACGTGGGTCGTGGGGAGACCTGCTCAGAGTTCAATATGGCTGTGTGGTGGACGGATTCAGACAGGCCCGATGAGGTAAGACGGTGGCCAAAACTGAAGGGCCCGCCAAGCCCCAGAAATCAGTTTGAATTTGTGTGTGTGTGTGTGTGTGAGGGAAGCCATTAGAGGGTTTTAAGGAAAGGAATGCAATTATTTAGTTTATGACTAAGAAATCTCTCCGGTTGTGTAAAAATGTGGGGGAGCACAATTTCGGGGTCCTCTTGCTGTAGCCTTGGTAATTAGGGCTGTTAGCTTGGACCATTAGCATGGTAGCACTGGATGGAGATGCGGAGCCATGGACAGAGGTTCTGTGACTTTGGGAGGTCACCCTGACAGGACTTGCTGCTAGACTTAAGTGTGGCTTGTTCGGGAAAGAGCATAACATGGCTGACGGCTCTTCCCGGCTGGGTGGGTCAGAGTGCATTTCTCAGAAATGGAGGGCGTTGGTGGATGTTGAGGAGGAAGAAAGAGTTCTCTTTGGGACACTTAAAGCCAGAGACAGTTAACTGATGCATGTTTTTTGAAAGACCCTCAGGCTGTTCTGTGGAGAGTGGGAAGAAGGCATCTGGGGCTCCAGGGGCGAATCTTTCAGGCTGTCAAAGGCTTTAGCTTTGCATCAGTATGAAATGAGCAATTATGACAGGGCTTTGAGTGTAGGAGAGCTGACCAAATGCCTGCTGGGTGGAGAGCAGACCATAGTGTAGAGTTGCCAGATTTAGCAAATAAAAATAGAGAGCACAATGAGGTGGATAGACCTAGAGTCTGTCATACAGAGTGAAGTAAGTCAGAAAGAGAAAGACAAATACCGTATGCTAACACATATATATGGAATTTAAGGGGGAAAAATGTCATGAAGAACCTAGGGGTAAGACAGGAATAAAGACACAGACCTACTAGAGAACGGACTTGAAGATATGGG